GGGAGAGGGGGTGCGCCTGGTGGCTCAGTCGGTTGGGTGACCGACTTCAGCTCAGGTCATGATCTCACGGTTCATGAGTTCGAGCCCCGCGCCGGGCTCTGTGCTGACAGCTCGGAGCCTGGAGTCTGCTTCGGATTCTGTGTCTCCTCCTCTCTCTGCCCCTCCCCCACTTGTGCTCTGTCCCTCAAAAATAAATAAATGTAAAAAAAATTTTTTTTTCAATATATGAAATTTATTGTCAAATTAGTTTCCATACAACACCCAGTGCTCATCCCAAAAGGTGCCCTCCTCAATGCCCATCACCCACCCTCCCCTCCCTCCCACCCCCCATCAACCCTCAGTTTTTCTCAGTTTTTAAGAGTCTCTTATGCTAAAGAAAAGCAGCTTGGACTCTGGGGAGAGGAGCTTTTCTCTGAGATCAGCTGCGCGTCTTCCGTAGCGGGGTCTCTTAAGGAACAAGGCAGGACTTTGGGATGTCTGGGGGCACGCGCGGAAGATGCTTTCCTGAGACCCACCGAGGGTCCCGGTCTGTGTGTGTGTCCTCTGCAGAGGGTCCAGTCTGTGTGTTTCAGAGCCTAGCAGGACGCAGGCGGTTGTGTCGTGCAGGGGTGTGGCGAGGGGCGTGGAGGCAGGCGGGTACTGGAGCCAGCAGAGCAGGGCAGCTCCCACCTGGAGGCTCCTTTCTCTGGCACGTGGAGGCAGGCTTCTGTTTGCATTTCCAAGTTGTCCGAGCTGTTCTTGGACTCGTGGGAAGGCCCTCGTCTTGCTCGCGGCCTGCAGATCGGACCCGGTCAGCCGGCCCTGCACCTCGGGAGGAGAAAGCCAGATGGACACCGGTGCGGGGACGCCTTGGACCTCTGCGCCCCTTCCTGAGAGGGGGGAGACCTGCCTGGAGGGCAGGGGGCAGGGCCTTTCCCCTCTGTGTTTGTGTGACCGCGTTCCTCCGCACCACCGGCAGCATGGGCTCAGTGCTAGGAAGTCCCGAGTCACGCTCACCCCTCAGAGGGAAGGAAAGGAGCTTAGGGGGTGCTGAGCAGGGCTGGCGGCGGCCCGGTGGCCCCTGTGCAGGTGCCGAGCGGTCCTTCTCCGTGTGGCACCTGCTGGAAGCAGAAGGTGAATGTACCTATTATTAGCAGGAGTGCGGGCAGCCTTTCTGCTCTGACCCCGAAGCCGCCCTCCATCGGTGTCTCGTCCACGTCCGTGCCACGTGTGTGAGTGCCTGTCCCCTCGGGCGTGCGGGGGACCCGGACGGGAATAAAGCACTGTAGTATAAATACCCTCCTGTCTCAGGCCGCCTCGCCCAACGTGGAATGACAGTCCCGGCTCAGATCTTGCATATTTAAAAAGATGATTAAAATGAAGGAAAGTCGACTGTAAAAAATACACGTAAGCCAAAGCCACAAAACAACCCGCTTAAAGATACCCTGAAATTGACCAGGTACTTTGAATCGCACCTTTCTCGTGAGCGCGAATTCTCCGAACCTCCGGGACCTCACCTTCGGCAGTGCTGCTGGGGCGGCCTCTCCGCTCGGCATCGTGGTGATGACCCTGACCCGGTGTATTCCTGTGGTTACCAAGCATCCTCACAGTCTGAGGTGTATCAGACTTGCTATGTCTTAACACGAAGTTAAGTTGGGAAGGAACGCTGCTGGCACGCACCTGTGGTTGTTTAGAACTTTCTGGAACACCAAAACAGTAATCCGCCATGGGTATGGCCTGGGGATCTGTGCCACTTTGACAGCGGGCATTTGGGGTGTTTTCCTTCAGTTTCACATATTTTGGTTCTCAACTCAGAATTTCTGTTTAATTGAAAACATTGTTTCCCCCTGATGTTGAGAAACTGGTTGTCTGCCTCTTCGTGTAACTACCGACCCCACCCCTGTGACTCTGCATTAACCATCCCCCTCTAGGGCTGTGTCCTCGTATGTCTGCCTTCAGAATTCTGTCCCAGAGAAGCTAACAGTGTTTTACTCCAAATAAAAGTTCCTTATTACTTCATGGTCCCTAATCTTGGAGTTCTTTGAGACTTTTCTTTTTAATATTATGACTTAAGTTTAAGTCCCGTAATTTGAAGTGGTGCCTTGTTAATGGGAAGAAATGCTTTCATGTCTTCTTTTCCTTCAGTTCTTCGACTGTGTTGGGATCCCCCACGGCACCAAACAGCTGGGGCCTTTCTGCCCCATAGAGACGGTGGCTGAGGGAGCCCCAGTGTTGCCCACAGGCTGAGAGCCGTCCATCGGGGGTGACCGCTGTGCTTTATTTTAAATTCAAATTGCGTAGCATTTAAGCCGGCGTGTGAGAATGCATTTTCTTAGTCCTGTCTATCCAAGAGGGGGGAATTGAGTGGGGCACAGAGTGGTCTCTTCTGAAAATGAGATGCAGCTTAAATGACTTTTGATTCTAGTGGTTTGAAAACACTCTCTCTCTCTCTCTCTCTCTCTCTCTCTCTCTCTCTCTTGCCCCCAGTGCATGTTCATTCTTCTAGTGTCACTGCCCTGGGAACTTGAAATCGGGCAGCCGGCCTGGTCTTGGCCCGCTCACCATGAGACGGACCAGCTCCCCCAGGCAGGGGCCACAGCCTCCAGCCCTCAGAAAGGTCTCGACGGAGGAGAAGGATAAAGGCTTCTCCTGGGATGTCCATCTTTGAAATCTTTGGTTATTTTTCATTTAGCCTTGCCTGAGGCAGCATTCTGTTCTGACCAGCGATCAGGGTTTTTTGTTTTTTGTTTTTTTTGGGTTTGTTTTTAAGTTTGTTTCTTTTGAGAGGGAGAGAGAATGAGCCAGGGAGAGGCAGAGAGGGAGGGAGAGGGAGAATCCCAAGTAGCTTCCACACTGCCAGCACAGAGCCCAGTTTGGGGCTTGAACTCACGAACCGTGCAATCAGGACCTGAGCCGAAATCAAGAGTTGGACGCTTAACCAGCCGAGCCACCCAGGCACCCCCGTCTAATGCCTGTTTAATATTTGTTGTGATGATGAACACAGTCTTAGGTAGTGGCTGATTTAGAATCAGCAGTTTGTTCGTGAATCACGCTCCTTTCAATTCTCATTTGAGAATTGTGTATACAAGCCTGTGTATGTATTTTCCACGTGTAGTATCCCCTTACGCTGGGAACGGTTGCATTTCTGCGTGTTGACGCTTCGTTTTCCCAGCCACTTAGTATTCTGTTATGTGGATATATCTAAATCTACCTAAGCCAGCTTTGGGTTTGTTACAAGTGACAGGGACAGAGGGACTCGCTGGGACGCTCTTTGAGTGTGCGGTTCATGTTGGGAGCGTCACTGTCATTGACTCCCCTGGATCATTGAGGTCACCCTGTAGATCTGTAAGGCCACATCCCCATTTTTTTCAAAAAGAGCAGTCGGTGACAGAAAAGACGTGTTCTGCAACTTGATAAGTAATGCTGTTCGCTCGTGAGGGTGTTAGTTACCATTTGCCCAGTGCCTACCCGGGGTCATCTCCGTGCTGGCTCCATCATTGTTTATCTGTTTGCAGGCTGTGTTTTCTCTGGGGGCTGCTGGGCTCACCAAAGAGTGGGTGTTCAGGTGCACCCCCAATATTTAGCCCCCAGTGTGCTGGCCCCATTGGGGGAGGGGTCAGAAGCAGCTCTCGGTCTTCGTTCTCACGAACGTCTTTCCTTCTGAGTTCCTGCCGATGTACTTCTGTCCATCGCTCTGCCTGCCGGCCAGGCACTCGGGTCCCCAGGGGTCCAGTGTCTCCAGTGTTGAACACCGGTCACTTCCAGCTTCCAGCTGAGGATTCGAGGCACATGCATCAGCCTCGCATCCCCATCTGCTTGTGGCCGCCCGTCTTCTCCACTGACCCGTCCTTTCCTGAGCACAGGGTCCTTTGTGATGGGTCGTCCCACCTCCTAAGCGTCTTTGCAGGGCCAGCGGAGGCTGGTTTCTTGGGCGGCCACCCGCCTCGTTTTCGTGTCACTGTGGATCGGGTTCACCTTGCTCCCTTCAGACACATTTCTCGACCTTCTCTGTGATACCCCCCAGCAGCACTGCACGCTTATGCCCTCTGCTTCTATCCCGGCACCCGTGTTTATTTGAAACTGGTGGCATTGCTTGACTTTTAGGTATTTTGTGAATCGCGTTACTATTTCTTGGACGTAACGGAGTGATGAACGTTTCTGAGTTTGCGGAAAATACATAGAAAGTGAGAGGTGTTTGCCCTCAGCTGGTCGTAGTGGGAACGGCTGTCACCTCCTTGTGACTCACTCTGTCTGTTGACGAGGGCATAGTGTGCGTGGTGGTGTGGGGTCTTGTCCACAAGAGATGGTGAGCGGGAGGCGTGGGGAATCCGGTCCTTTGTGTCCTCTGTTGTGGGTGGGCGCACCTGACCTGCACCCGTGATGGCCGCCCCGGTGTTCTGGCCAGGGTGGGACTGGCTCTGTGGAGTCCCCACGGTGGCTGGGGACCCCTCGTCTCTTGGACGTATCGTACAGTTTTGACTGGATCTCCGCTGTGTCCTGTGTTTGGGAGGACCAAAACCCCAGCACGGTCTTCCGAACTGTCAATGGCTGTTGTATTGTGCACATGGGGATTTTCCAAGCCCAGTCATTCTCTGCATGACTTTGTTGGTGGGCTTTCAGACAAGACTACCTTAGTGAAAAACAGACCAGAAGTTCACTGACAGCTATAGGGGCAGTTCTGGGAAAGCCTGGGACCTCCTCAGTCTTCCTGATGACAAATGAGCAGGATCAGAGGGTCTCAGCTCACCCCCGGACAGTGTGGTCCTGTGGGGCTCGGGCAACAGGGACATTCGAGGTGGGGAGGGACCAAGTTCTAGAAGCTCCTTGGGTTTGGATGGAGCGTGCGTTATGGTTTAGGAGACGCAGACTTGGGAGCAGGAACGGGGCGGGAGTAGCATGAGAACCTGGTCTGCACCATCCTCGGTGGTGTTCTGGATGGGGAAATGGCACGTTGGGGGCATTTTGACTCCGCGCTGAAGTGAGCGGTGGCACCTGACTTTGCTTTACCTCCTGTTTTACAGATGCCTTTGTGAATAGCCAGGAATGGACATTGAGTCGATCTGTCCCGGAGCTCAAAGTGGTGAGTGGTCCTTCCGGCCTCAGTGGCTGTCCTTCCTTCCTCACCTCCTCACCCCGCAGGAGAGCGGGGCTCTGTAAGAGGCAGGACGTGATGTGCGAGCACACTCGGCCTGCATCCCGAGGGGGCCTGCTCGTCCCCAGAGCCCAGATTGGGGGGGGGGGGCACGCTTCTGGGTATGTCCCTGGGAAGGGCCAGGTGTAGCTGACCGTTGGGGACCGGAGCCCTGAGTGTGCCTGGGATGGCCACACCCATCCGTCCATCATTCTGTCTGTCCTGCCCTTGTGCACACGCGTGTGAGAGAGCGTGTCACACACGCATGCACAAGTAGGGCTTTATTTGTCCTCTGCCGGGATGTCATGGGCGGTTTCTGTGATGAGCCGTCAAGCTTCAGAATTCATCGCTTAAACCACGCGACTGGTCGTTCACCGTGTTACAGAGGAATGACATAAGATCAAAAGAAGAGTTTGTGTATTAAGAACTTTATTCTTTCAGTGAGATTATTTAAAGCTTCAAATTGCCTTCTGTAAAAAGTGACTTGGTTCTTTGCAACCACACCTTGCAGCACCTGTAGTCTATACATTCCCCGTGTTAGGATGGAGGGAAGGGACCAGTATAACTTTTAAATAATCATGTTCTTTGTCACGTAAGCAGCATTTGGGAGAAGTATCTGTGTGTGTGTGTGTGTGTGTGTGTGTGTGTGTGTGTGTACACGTATGTGTGTGTGTGTGTGTTCGTGTGTTTATATGTCCGTGCAAGTATACATACCTGTATACACATGTATATACCTTTGTGTATGTGCACGTATTTTTGTGTGTGTGCATGTGTGTATGTCTGTATACACAGATGTGTGTGTATTTGCCTGGGGTATTTATATGCGTGTGTGTGTGTGTGTAGACACGTATATGCATATGCGTGCGTAGGTGTGTGCTGTGCGTGTGTCTGTATGTTTATATGCAGACACGTGTAGTTGTGTGGTATACGTATATGTTTGCACCTGGGTGTGGCGTGGGCGTCCACTTCGAGCCACTCCAGCGTTGGGCCCTGATGATAGCACGCGGGCAGGCAGGCCCTTCTCGTTCACTCCCAGCAGTGACGGGTGGCTTGGGCACAGGCCCGCTCGGTTCTCCCTGCCCCTCGCGCTCAGCCTTTCCCTTCCTGTGCCCTCTGTCCCGAGTTCTGTGTTGCTTTTAGCAGCTCCAGCCTGTGTGCCAGCAACCCCCCCGGAGGCCCTTGGACGCCTTCTCCCCCTGGGCCCCAACCTCAGTGGTGCTTTGTGGGTGACCCAGGGCAGGGGCACAACCCTTCGGGTGTCTCACTCCTGAGATGAAGAGACGGAGCCAACAAGGAACATTCTGGACCTGGAACAGAGGATAGGTAACTTTTGTCACCAGGAAAAACACGTTTTTAAACCGAAGAAACAAAGGATGACGCGGGAAGGCATGCTGAGATCTGTCCGCACGGTCTCCGTGCCCTCCTGTCCCCTCCTACGTGCCTGTCCCTGCTGCCACCGCTGGGTGTCCCGGTCGGGGGACATCTTGTCCCTGCCGGAGCTCTGACCTTTCTCTGCAGCACCTGCCAGCGGGTTTCCTTCCTGGTGGGAGACGTAAGATCTGTCGGTCCCACCCCCTTCCCAAAGCCGGGCTTCTGCCTTGAAACGGCCACCTCTTTCTGCTTCGCGTTTTGTAACCACGGTACCTGGCACAGGAGTGGGCCCACCGGGCGCCTTCAGGAGACGCCCGCCGAATGAAGTTTGTCGGCGGCACTGTTGCTGGGAGGTTTGGGGGAAGATGGAGCAGTTGCAGATACGCCCCCACTCCCGTGAAACCGCCAAGAGCGCCTGCATGGTCCACGATCAGAGCGCCGGGACGGAGCGATGCTGGGGTGACGGTGACGCGGGCCGCGCCGGGAGGCGCTTGCTCTGCGCAGGGCATGTTGTGAGGGCGTCACACGAGCATCTCGCGCTCACCCGCCTGCTGCCCACGACTCGGGTACCGTTGTTACCCCTGTTTCAAGATGAGGAAACGCCCTCCGAATCCTGAGAGTCTCCCCACGAGCCGCACACAGTCAGCAGGTGGCGGACCTGGGATTTGAACGCGGTTTGCGCTTCTGCACCAGCGGGAACCTCCTCCGTCTTGCTGCCCAGGCTGCTGGCCCCACGTGGCCACTGGGCGCTTGCAGGGTGGCCCGTGCGACTGACGAGCTGAGTTCAAACTTTTCGTTGACGTTCAGTCAAGTTAAATCGAAGGAGCCGAATGAGGCCGGCGGCTCCCCTTGTGACGGTGTTACAGTCTGACTGTGATCCTTGAGTATCGAGCTGTCTGATTTGGGGAGTTTGGGGGGGGTTCTGCCGGAGCCCCCATGTTCGTGCCGGCCTGTAATTGAGAATGGTCACTCCTAAAAGCTGGTTTTCTGCTGGTGTTTCAGAAGCATGTAATTTCCTGGAGTGAATGTCTAGAGGTGTAGGAAGGGTTATGTTCGGAGGCAGCATGGATCCGTGCTCCTGAAGGGTGAGTGTTTCGAGGCTTGCTAGAATGTGCCAGAGGTTGACTACATCCCGTGGATGAGGAACCAGGACTCTGCCTTCATGCGGAGGAAGTTCTCTTTGTCCTGCCCTGTGTGTGGATGGCCAGACCCCGGTGGGACAGCCCCGCTCCGGTCAGGGAGCCCTCCCGCCGAGCAAGGGCAGCTGCCTGTCCTCAGCAGGTCCCTTCTGTGCCGAGGAGTTCTCCGCGTCTCCAGAAAGTGCTCCTTTGTTCAGAGGCAGCCCCCCGTGCATCCACAGGGCCGCCGTTGTTCTACGCCCTCGCACGACATCCCCCGAGACAGGTGGCCCCTTAGGTCAGCGCCTCCGGGATCCCTGACTTCTGTGTCACAGACGCAGCAATTAAATGACATAATCGCAAGCCTCAAGTGGACTCTTTATGTGATATTTTGCAATAAATCTTCTGGAATCTGTCAGAGAAGAGAATCTCAGTGTTTGCTTTCTTTTCAAGCGTGGTGGTACCATGCCTCATGTTTTCTCAAGTTGTGTTCTGCTTGGGTAATCAATGATCAGTTGCTCTTGGATCCGAACGCGGGTCACCGTCCTCGGGCGGCAGGCAGTGGGTGCTCCCTGCTCACATCTGGGCAGAAACAGGAAATACGCCCTCGACGTCTCGCCCGCAGAGGGAGTGTTAGGCACTTGCCACACCCTCCTGTGGGCTTTCTTTGGATTCCCAGCTGGGATTTTTATTGACGGCCTTGATTTTCTTTTCAACAAACTGCACTAAGTTTAGCAGGTAAGTGGTGAGGTTTAGGATGACAGAAAAATCAGTCTGAACAGAGACGGTGCTCTTTCCCTCTTGTCACTGGAGAACATGGAGCAGTGGCCCTGACAGTCGGGGCTCCTCCCCAGGGTGCAGGGCCCGTGGCACCGTGACGGCGTCTGTCTGCCGTCGTGTCATTTTCCGGACGCCCCACCTGTGCTCCTGAGCGGCTCCGTATGAAGCCCGTAGGCGAGGGTGAGCTCTCCTCCTTTTATCCAGAAGCGGTCGTGGAACCCGGAGGAGCTTCACCGCCTAAAAAGCATTTCGTCCCTTTCTATTTCCTCCTCACAGCCGGCTCTTTGTTTCTGCCAGCGGTTCCAATTAACACAAGGCCCATGGGGTGCCAGTCTCCGGGGCGGCCTTCCCCCCGCCACCCCCAAGACTCATTGACTTTTCTCCTGAAGGGGAAGCTCATTCTCTGCAGAGCACTGTTGTGTGAGGAGGAAGGAATGTGCCACACGTAGGAAGTGCAGACCGAGCAGTGTTTGATTTTGAGCATTTTCCTCCTCGGGAAAGAGAAAGTCTAATCTTAATTAAAAATTTAATTTTGCGGCACGCTGGTTTGGGTTTTCTCAGCATGAGCTGACAAACAGCAGGTGCCCTTGAGCAAAAGAATAATTAATAGGTAGAGATCCTCGGCTTATAGAGGCCCCAGGTAAAAAGAAGACAGGAGTCCCGTCGGAAAGGGAAACATCTCTATTTCAGGTCTGCCCACGTCACATGGCTTTGTGCCCCGGTAACAAAGCATCTCTGTTTGTCCTGGTGCTGGAGCCGCTCACTCGTTTGCTCATTTACGCAGCGGGTGCCGTTGGGAGACTCCCGGGCCGGGTGTAGCACTGGGACCCAGGGGACAGAGACCCAGACCCTGCCCTTCGGAAATTGTCAGCATCTCCGACAGACCCGCATAGTGATGCTGGTAACACAGAGGTCATGAGACGGCGTTGTGAGGAGGGCACTAAGGGGGCTTTGAGGAGAGGTTCCCGGTTGAGGCTGTGCTTTAGGAAGGCTTCTCGGAGGAGGTGACCTCTGAGCCGCTTGCTGAGCAGTGAGCAGGAGTAGTATTTCAGGAAGTGATTGATGAGGAAAGGTCCAGGTGTCTGGAGACAGATAGCAAGTCCTGTCAGGGCGAGGCAGTTTCCAGGAGTCTCTCTGCTATTTCTGGGGTGAAGGGGGGAGCCTGTAGACAGACCAGCTAGCATCTGCCCCGTGACCCAGTATGACTGGGAAAGTGCTTAGGAGCACCAGGACTCCACGGGAATCTGGGATGGTTTCCACGTTTCCGGTTTGAGAAGCCTGGTGAGGTGTGGCCATAGAGGGTGACGAGCAAACCGGGGCGAGAACGCGCGATCTGGACGTGCTGGGGTTCGAGCACCAGCTTGGGTGGCGTGGGGTGCATGCGGACGACTGGTGGGGGGGCTGGAGAACGAGATTTGGGAACAGCAGGTTGGTCCGGGAGGGCGGGACGTGGCCAGGCACACCGGGGCCCGAGAGTCGAGACTCTGGAAGAAACCAGGAGACCTGGAGAGTGCTCACGTGGGCTTAGCAGGAATTCCAGGAGGATGCTCAGGCAGGAAGTTTGGAGAAAGCGCGTCTGGTCTGTGGCTTCCGGTGATGGGCTGGGTCAGGAGCAAGAGGGAGGCTAGCGCTTTTAGGAATGAGGTCATCTCTGACCTCAGGGCCAGCGTCCCTGTGGCTCTTGGATCAGCACTTGACATTGTGAGGGTCAAGGGCGGGACCAGGAGGGTGGGAGTGAGCTGTGAGCCTGGCCCTGGTGGGAAAGGGGAGGCAGGCTCGTAGGAGGCCACCTGTGTCCAGAGGCAGGGCTCTGGTTTTGTGTTTCTGAAAGAATTGATTTGGGCGTGCTTAAACGCAGAGGGGAGAGATCTGGTGGGGAAGGTACAGTACAGGAGGGGGGTCGCTGATGGGCTGCTTGCAGAGAAGGCAGAGGGCGTGAGGTCCCCAGCACAGGCGAAGGGAAGCCTTCCCAAGGGGCCGGCTGCCCTCAAGTCCATGTCTTGTCTGGCAAGCCTGCTGCCTTGCCAGAACAGTGGCCCTCCTGACTCTCGATGGGCATTTTCAACCCATTCTGGACCCCTCTGCTGCCTTGACCGTGGGCCGAGCCCCTGCAGCCCCTCCCCCACACCGTCCTCTCTTGCTGTTTCTCAGCTGGCCTGGCTCCAGAACCACCCCCCGAGTCCGGTGGGGTGTACCAGAATACCCTTCTCACTCCCATTTTGCCCTGTCCCGGACCGCGCCCCGTTCGACACAGCAAACCCTGCCCGGGACGGTGAGGGTGCGCAGTCCACGTCGATGGGCCGACTCAGCCTTCGCTCTCCCAATAGACCCGCGGCACACGGTGTCGGAAGAAGGCCGCTGTCTGTGGGTTCACACGGCGTTGACGCCCTCTGAGCCGGCAAGGCTGATGAGAGCAGGAGGTGCAAACGGAGGGCACGGGAATCTCTTCCGCTTGCGGAGGAGAATTTAATGAGCTGGGTTCGGGCCCTCCAGCCGCTGCTTGCCTGTGGTCACGCTCAGACTTAACGTTTTCCCCTCCCCCTGTTTGCAGATCGACGAGCAGAGTGATGTAATGATACTGAACGGTCGTCCGATTCTTTGTTTCAGGGAATCGTGGGTAACCTGGCCAGCGGAAAGTCGGCCCTGGTGCACCGGTATCTGACCGGCACATACGTCCAGGAGGAGTCTCCCGAAGGTACGCTGGGTGGCAGGCCACGTCAAGCTCAGGAGCGTTTAGCTTACGAAAGTTTTCTGTAGCGTATTCTAAACCGTTACTATGATGCATCACGCTTTTTGAGAGAGAATAAAATACCAGGCAGCGAAAGTCCTTAGGTATGTTGTTTCTTTTGTAGTATTTTTAGCTAACTGATGATATTCTCTTTGGCATTTGGAGCCGTAGAGTAGAGCCTTGAAATGCTGTTGAATTTATTTCTTATCTAGCAGTCCTGGTGTTTCAAATGTTAATCCAGGGTCAGTCACCCCTTTAAACGTGACTCGGACGTTTGCCTGTTCCGGATACTAAGTTTGTGCATAATCTGCACGTACTGTTACCCAGTGGTAGATAGGAGCCTCTCAGGTTACCACCACCGTATGTTTGAGTATGTTTCCCCCATATATTGTATTCTGAACATTTAAGAATCATTTTGCATGAGAGTAAGAGATTTCTTTTGCCATTAGGCTTCTGCTTCAGTTAACATGTTCACATTTTATTTTTTGCTCTAAGTAGAGTTAAGGCAGTGACAGGAAGCCACGTAATCCCTGTGTTCTTTAATCCACGTAGAGTTCACAGGAAGTGTTCTGAGTTATATTTTCTCTCCGTGTAACCTTTTAAAATCCAACTCTGAGACACTGAATTTCTGGTTCCTTCTTTTTCTTACTGGCTGTTCCATTCTTTGCAGATATGGACGCAGGTAACTATACATTTTCTTCATGGCAGAACTTGTCTTGTTGGAAGAGAGAGGAGAGACACAACTTCGCACTGTAGTGTTCCCTTGCCTCCTCGTTCTGTGTATCATCCGATTTTGTTTCATTTCATCCTTTTATTTCAGTTAAACATTTCACCCTGTTTTGTCCCTTAGATGTCTTCTTAGCAGTAGTCCTGAGTAGCTTCCCATGTTTCCTGTAACACCTGTTCTAGCATTTAACTCTTGTCCTGGATCCCGTGTAACCATTCAGAAGAGTCTGGAAGGCTGGCATTCTGGGGCCCTTCAGGGCTCTGCCGTCACTGTGCAGAATTTTGCAACCCTGTCATCACGGCCTCGTGGTGGTCACCTCAGGGAAAGGCCCGCTTTTCCGTTACCCGTGTGTTGAGGGGGGTCTAGGGAGATGGGTTGTGGAGGCTCCTGGGCGGGGATCGAAGGGAAGCAGGGTGTCTATCCGATGGAAAACGTATATACCTGCTAGAAGATGGCATGGTTTGGAGACGGGGCCGGGGGGGGGCGGGGGGGGCGGTGCAGGGAGGAGAGAAGGTTCCAGGTCTTTCTGACGTCTTTCCTGGGACCTGTGCCTGAGTCGTGCTGGTGTTGGATTTGTTCCTTGGTATCCGAGCGTGGAATGTGGCCATGGTCGTTTTGATTCCACCTGGAGAGTCCGAGCATTTTTCTCGGGCTTTCTACTCACTCGTCGGGGTTAGGCGTTGTATAGCTCGGTGACTCCAGATGCCGAGGGACTGGCTGACCTGACCTCAGGTGATCCCCTCCTCCAGTAAATCCGCTCGCGGTCTCCTCAGATGCTCTGATCTCCACCAGGGGCCGCCGGTGACGTGGTGTGGGCCCCTGGTTTTGCTGCCAGTGCTCTGGCGTTGGGACACCAGTCCCCGAGCTGTGGATGCCGTTCTCGTCCCCACGCGGTGCTGTTTTGTCATTATTGTAGCGTCTGCTCTTTCCCACTGGCTATTTCCGGTCTGTTCCATCCCATTTGGGCCTGTGGTTTCCTTGCCGGGGGCCCTTATGTTTTGATGAGCATGGAGGCATTTTTCTTGAACGTTCATACTTCAGAAGTAAAATTTGTACCCAGTGGGGTGACTTAAACCGTGGTCTCTAATGAACCCACTTCCTTGACACCTTTTACTCTACTAAAATTTCATGGCATCGCATACAGTTATAAAAGTACGTTATTTTAAAGGAGAGCGTGTGACTACACCAAAGGCCGTCCCTGTCCTCGTCGGCAAAGTCTCATCCCCCCTCCCCTCCTCCAGTGGCGCCTTGTGCCCAGGGCCCCCCGGACCAGGGGAAGGACTGTCAGTGGTCTTTTCTCAAGGGCTCAGCCCACCTGTCTTCTCATGTGACCCCAGGTCATGGGTGGGGCTGCCAGGTGGGCCCCAGTGGACCTGTGTCAGGGTCTCTGGCTGCAGAAAGAACTGGGGCAGGTGCCCCCCTGTGCCTGGGAACCCCATAAGCCCCAGTGAATCTTTGTTTCCCAGGAGCTGTCTGCATGTGCCTTCGTGGAACCAGGCATGTGGCCATGTCCTTGCCTGTCATGCAGGGGGACCAGGGAGCCACCCCCCACTCCCTGTCCACTTGCCTGGGCCTCTCATGCAGGGGCACCAGGGAGCCGCCCCCCACTTCCTGTCCACTTGCCTGGGCGAGTTTCAGAGCCGCAGGAGAATCCGGTTGTTTCTGAAAGGACACGAACAAGGAAAGCCTGGGTCTCTCGCCGTCTGGCCACACTGAAGTTCTTTCTCCCCACCAGGGAGTCTGTACCTGGAAAGTAATTAGAGTTCTTGTCGGATGTGTTAACATCGACCGAGTGCCTGTGCCCGCCTCCTTGAGAAGCTTTACACTCAGAACGTTCTGGAGTCGGGACATACCAGAGTCGTTGCCCAGGTTTACGGAGCACGTCCGAGCAACGGGAATCCCATCCCACGAGTGTGGACGGCAGGTGAAGCCGATTAGAGCTCAGCCCCACCTGCCACAGCTCACAGAGGCCAGAGGTCAGGTTCGAGGGCAGCTAGCTGCTGCCGGGCATCTCCATCGCCACGCTGGGGGTGGTGCCCTTCAGGTGAGCTGCAAGGCCTGTCCACTGCTTCTGGCTTGTCCTCCTTTTCATCTCGCAGCTGCCGGGGGACCAGCTGCCTCTGGCCGCACGCGGGCAGTGACTTCAGGCACGAGGATTGTTGCTACCGGGACTGTGAGGTCTGCTTGCGCACCTGGCGCCCTCCTGGAGCTCTCCTGTTCCCACCTGGTTGTCCCTTGATTTAATTAGCGTGCAGTGTCCTTTAGCGTCACTCTGACCTGTCACAGGATCTGTAGGTTGCCGGCTGTGTGAGGTGGCGAAGGCCTGCTGTTTTCAGACGAGCGTGCTCTCCGTAGAAAACTCTGGCGTGGGATGACCCCAGACGTTTGCCGGAACGTACTTTGCATCAGACGGGTCGTAGCTGGGTTTCCGAGGATAACGGCTGTTGTGTTTTAGTCGTGTGATTCCTTCTCGCTGGTATTTTATCCTCGTAGTAGAGAGAGTTGAGCAACACGATTTCGGTAATTTTAAAGATGCAGTTTAAATGAGGGACGGATTTAAATATTTTGTGTATTTTTTTTTTAATTAGTAAATTAGCAATGCAAAAGTGGGCACCTCAGCAGGGAGCCAGTGATTCCATCAGAGGAATCCAAGGAGTAAAATTTTGTGCAGGCGGATATCCGTTCAGCCGTGCATGTGCATGTGTGTGCGTGTGTGTGTCTGAGTCCTAAGGTCGCCCTGACAAATTACTACAAACCAAGTGGCTTAAATCAGCAGAACTTCACTGTCACGGCTGTGCAGACCAGAAGCCTGAGATGAAGGTGTTGATGAGGTTGGTTCTTTCTGGAAGGCTCTGAGCGGGAGTCTCTTCTGTGCCTGGCTGCTGACAACCTTCGGCTCCTTGGCTCATAGACCCATCACTGCAATCTCTGTCTCTTTCATGCGACGACATTCTTCCGGTGCCCTTGTCTCCGTGTCCAGATTTCCCTCTTCTCGTGGGAATGGCAGTCACTGGGTGTAGGGTCCCCCCTCATCCCCCCGTTCTCTAGTCTGACCTCATTTTCATCACATCTGCCAAGACCCTCTTTCCAGATGAGGCCACGTCACAGGTGTCGGGGGCCAGGACTCGAATATCTCTCTTGGGGGCTGGACTCCAACCCACGAATGACCCTCCGTGTTTTGCGCACACGGTGTGTAAGCAGAAGCTGCAGTCAGCGCCGTGAAGTTGCCCTGTTCCCTCCCGGGGCAGGAGGAGCGAGGGGCGACCCCCGCTCTTCCCGGAGCCTCATGGACACGAGATGAGCGTGTGTGTGTGTGACCTTCACACCTCTGATGGGAATTTCACGGCTGCCGTTCCCCTGCAGTAGAGACAAGATGAAAATGACCCCTTTGCTCTCAGCGCCCTGTTAATGGCTGCGAATTAGAATTGCGAATGATGTTTTGGGCACGGAATTGGAGTCTCCACCTCGTGTAGGTGCTTAATATTCACGGTGCATCCCTCCTTCCCCACCGCAGACCTCCGTGACCACCATTCGGCGTTTAACTCTCTCCCCTCAAAACTGAGAAAAGGAAAACAGGAGAGGAAACCAGGCTCTCCAGGGTTAGTGGGAATTTGATGGACACTGTGGACCTGCCCCGAGCCGCTTGACCCCGGGCGGGCTGGAAGATTGTGGGTTGTGGCGTCCCGGAGACACTTGGAGCTTTGGAACGGAGTCGTTCCCCTGAGACCCTGTCTCCGTGACATCCCTGCGTTCTTCTCCCTCATGCCGTGGGCCCTGCCGAGCTGTGCGGATGGCTCGTGCCGAAGCATCTGGAGCCCGGGGACCTCACACCCAGAGCTGCCTTTGTGTTCCTGGGGTAGGGGACGGGCCCAGAGCTAAGATGAGACTCAGCTGTCTGGTGGATTGAGTGGGAGATTATAAGGTTGGTGGAGACAGGCTTAAGAATGTCCGTGGACCCTCCTTCCTGGGATAATAAGATTAACTGCTCTTCGCTAATTTTTCAAGAAAGTACCAGAACTGAACAGGGCAGAGGGTGCCAGGGTGTCCGTCCCTAGTTGTGGGTGTCACGTGCAGCTGGACAGTTCTCTGGTCACTGCCCCCTGCAGCAAGGGCTTGCTGGTGGTAAGGTCCCCGCGAGCTGGCCGTCCCTCCCCTGTTCCTGCCCGCGGGACTCTGCCCGCGTGGGTCTCTGGGCAGCAGATAGGTTCTCAGGAGCACATGTATCCGAAATAGTTTTTTAATGAATGTTTACTTAGTTGCTTAGAAACAAACCATGTGGTAAACACTTAGCCATATTTTCTGGGACAGATGAAATGCGTTTAGGCCGTCTGCCCCCAAAATCCTTTCCAAATCAAATAAACGTGAAAAAAAAAATTTTTTTTTTTGTCCGCTACCACTGCTCAACAGATGTTAGGGCTTATTTCTAAACACGTCCTTTTGTGCTGTTTAACGTTCCAGTGAAAAAATCTGTAAACTCTAATAAAAGTTGAGTTGTTTTGAAGCCCAGCCATTTAAATGTTTTCAACATAATTTTACCATGTTACTCGTAACCAAGTGATTATGTGTACATGATAATTTCTTAACGAGGATTATCTGTAAACCTTAAGATGACGAGCAGCCTGCCAGCAGGTTGGTTTAACACATTGAGCAGAAGTCCGGTTTTTCACATTCCCTAACTATTTCAAAGCAGCCTCTGACCGTGGAAGTTTCACTGAGCTCTCCTTCCTTCCGTCCATAGAACAGTCCGTTAACTCTGTCCTCTCCCAGCTAGGCTATAGGGAGGCTTAGGTGATGTTGTCCAGAGTAGGTGAAGGCTACTAAAATTCTTAGTAGAGCCACCAAGAAAGAATAAAAGAGAGGCATATTCTCTATGGAAAAGAAAGCTGTAAACTAAGAATAAGGAGGGCGGTGCCTGGGGGGCTCAGTCGGTTGAACGTCCTGCTTCGGCTCAGGGC